CCGATGAAGGGTGACACCATCCAAATAAAGACTCCTTTCACGATACTAGGTTTACGGACGCTATCTGTATACCTATTTCTAAGGACACCAGTCAAATTGACAGGTAAAGGAAACAACGTGTCTTTTCTTTTAACGATTAGTCTAATTTAAAAACAATTATATATGTAGGAAGGATTGTAGTAAAAAGCAAACATAGATCCCGATGAAGGGTGACACCATCCAAATAAAGACTCCTTTCACGATACTAGGTTTACGGACGCTATCTGTATACCTATTTCTAAGGACACCAGTCAAATTGACAGGTAAAGGAAACAACGTGTCTTTTCTTTTAACGATTAGTCTAATTTAAAAACAATTATATATGTAGGAAGGATTGTAGTAAAAAGCAAACATAGATCCCGATGAAGGGTGACACCATCCAAATAAAGACTCCTTTCACGATACTAGGTTTACGGACGCTATCTGTATACCTATTTCTAAGGACACCAGTCAAATTGACAGGTAAAGGAAACAACGTGTCTTTTCTTTTAACGATTAGTCTAATTTAAAAACAATTATATATGTAGGAAGGATTGTAGTAAAAAGCAAACATAGATCCCGATGAAGGGTGACACCATCCAAATAAAGACTCCTTTCACGATACTAGGTTTACGGACGCTATCTGTATACCTATTTCTAAGGACACCAGTCAAATTGACAGGTAAAGGAAACAACGTGTCTTTTCTTTTAACGATTAGTCTAATTTAAAAACAATTATATATGTAGGAAGGATTGTAGTAAAAAGCAAACATAGATCCCGATGAAGGGTGACACCATCCAAATAAAGACTCCTTTCACGATACTAGGTTTACGGACGCTATCTGTATACCTATTTCTAAGGACACCAGTCAAATTGACAGGTAAAGGAAACAACGTGTCTTTTCTTTTAACGATTAGTCTAATTTAAAAACAATTATATATGTAGGAAGGATTGTAGTAAAAAGCAAACATAGATCCCGATGAAGGGTGACACCATCCAAATAAAGACTCCTTTCACGATACTAGGTTTACGGACGCTATCTGTATACCTATTTCTAAGGACACCAGTCAAATTGACAGGTAAAGGAAACAACGTGTCTTTTCTTTTAACGATTAGTCTAATTTAAAAACAATTATATATGTAGGAAGGATTGTAGTAAAAAGCAAACATAGATCCCGATGAAGGGTGACACCATCCAAATAAAGACTCCTTTCACGATACTAGGTTTACGGACGCTATCTGTATACCTATTTCTAAGGACACCAGTCAAATTGACAGGTAAAGGAAACAACGTGTCTTTTCTTTTAACGATTAGTCTAATTTAAAAACAATTATATATGTAGGAAGGATTGTAGTAAAAAGCAAACATAGATCCCGATGAAGGGTGACACCATCCAAATAAAGACTCCTTTCACGATACTAGGTTTACGGACGCTATCTGTATACCTATTTCTAAGGACACCAGTCAAATTGACAGGTAAAGGAAACAACGTGTCTTTTCTTTTAACGATTAGTCTAATTTAAAAACAATTATATATGTAGGAAGGATTGTAGTAAAAAGCAAACATAGATCCCGATGAAGGGTGACACCATCCAAATAAAGACTCCTTTCACGATACTAGGTTTACGGACGCTATCTGTATACCTATTTCTAAGGACACCAGTCAAATTGACAGGTAAAGGAAACAACGTGTCTTTTCTTTTAACGATTAGTCTAATTTAAAAACAATTATATATGTAGGAAGGATTGTAGTAAAAAGCAAACATAGATCCCGATGAAGGGTGACACCATCCAAATAAAGACTCCTTTCACGATACTAGGTTTACGGACGCTATCTGTATACCTATTTCTAAGGACACCAGTCAAATTGACAGGTAAAGGAAACAACGTGTCTTTTCTTTTAACGATTAGTCTAATTTAAAAACAATTATATATGTAGGAAGGATTGTAGTAAAAAGCAAACATAGATCCCGATGAAGGGTGACACCATCCAAATAAAGACTCCTTTCACGATACTAGGTTTACGGACGCTATCTGTATACCTATTTCTAAGGACACCAGTCAAATTGACAGGTAAAGGAAACAACGTGTCTTTTCTTTTAACGATTAGTCTAATTTAAAAACAATTATATATGTAGGAAGGATTGTAGTAAAAAGCAAACATAGATCCCGATGAAGGGTGACACCATCCAAATAAAGACTCCTTTCACGATACTAGGTTTACGGACGCTATCTGTATACCTATTTCTAAGGACACCAGTCAAATTGACAGGTAAAGGAAACAACGTGTCTTTTCTTTTAACGATTAGTCTAATTTAAAAACAATTATATATGTAGGAAGGATTGTAGTAAAAAGCAAACATAGATCCCGATGAAGGGTGACACCATCCAAATAAAGACTCCTTTCACGATACTAGGTTTACGGACGCTATCTGTATACCTATTTCTAAGGACACCAGTCAAATTGACAGGTAAAGGAAACAACGTGTCTTTTCTTTTAACGATTAGTCTAATTTAAAAACAATTATATATGTAGGAAGGATTGTAGTAAAAAGCAAACATAGATCCCGATGAAGGGTGACACCATCCAAATAAAGACTCCTTTCACGATACTAGGTTTACGGACGCTATCTGTATACCTATTTCTAAGGACACCAGTCAAATTGACAGGTAAAGGAAACAACGTGTCTTTTCTTTTAACGATTAGTCTAATTTAAAAACAATTATATATGTAGGAAGGATTGTAGTAAAAAGCAAACATAGATCCCGATGAAGGGTGACACCATCCAAATAAAGACTCCTTTCACGATACTAGGTTTACGGACGCTATCTGTATACCTATTTCTAAGGAAGTTCTTTAAAGCTGCGCCTTTACGGTGCTATTATAAGAGTTCACAAATTATTCATGGAAATTGCGCAATTCGTTAATTTCCACCGCCAAGTATTATCTATTCTTTTCTAATTGCTTTTTATCCTCGTCTGTCACGTTACGAGGTCAATTTTTGAATTTTTATACTTATTTATCTCAGTGACACTATTATCGGAGTATCAGATTTCATTTTCACGCATTTTTAAATAATTAAACATTTAACTTCGAAAATTTTAGGATAATAATAACGAGACTTCTTTGGGAAGGGAGAATAAATGAGAGCCGCGTTTTCTTTTGTACAGCTGATTACTATTCTCTTTTATTCCGTTGAAATGAACGAAAAATAATACACACAATCGCGAATATAATGAACGATCGATTGAATCGCGATCGCGAACTCGTGATACAGTGGAGATATTGTCTTTAATACTTTGCTCGGCTTCTACGTATTAAATAAATAAATAAATAAATAACTTACAGAGAATAAGAAGTGTCAACGAACACATGTACATTAGTAAGTAGTGTTTGGATACAGCAGAAACGCTTTTGATCTTAAAATGATCATAGCATGATGGAGCAATTAATATTAACGATGCGAAGAACATCGCTAATATTAATTATCGCGCCGCTTATACAACGTTGCTTCTCTCTTTCTCTTTCTCCACCTTTCTTTCACACATTCTCTCTCTCACACACTCTCTCACACACACTCTCTCTCTCTCTCTCTCTCTCTTGTTCTGTGTTAATAAATTAATACAACGATAAATTATCTGTACAGAACAATAAATAAGCGCATCATATCTTAAATTAAATAACGTCTCACGCGAGATACGTGCCTCCAATGGAGATTCGGTGGAGTGTATTGTAATATGAAAATACAGTTAAATGCAGCAGTTCTTAAATTCCTTCGAGTCTTTTACAAAATTTTCCGTATTATTCCGCTGTTACCTTCCGATATGCTTTCTTTTCTTTTTCACAGGAAACTCTTCCACGAATACATAAATATCACGAATAATAAGTTTCTTTCATATTCCGATTATCATAATACTTATTCCTAGCACTCGTAACCAATATACTTCAAAACGGGACTATGATACCTGCGGGCAAGATGTACATGACAAAGAATAAGATTATTTGCATATGTCTTATGAAGCGACATTTTCCTTTCAACATTGCAACAGTAATAAAGTTGAATATTACAAATTGTTCTTGGCTAACCGATGAATATCAAAGTGACAATTATAAATTAACTGCCAGTAGTTAGTGATACTTCTGACGTACATATGACGCGTGATGAATACATCAAAGTCGCATGCTTTTATTCGGTTATACAAAACGTATCTCGCGACAAAGTATACAAAAACTATCTCTATTGACATATAGCAACTGCCGTATTACGGAAACGAACGTAAAAATAAAATTATTAGTGTCTCACGTTTACTTTGTGCACAGTAATTCAATGGTTCAATGGTCATCCGTTGATGATCAACGCAATCTATTTGCTTTTATAAACTGTACGTATGACTTTAACCTCGTTCGGCCATGATAAGAGCATCGGATACTCGAGCACTGATTCAAGATCGTTAATCTATCATGCGTATCCGAGTGATCTAACGAAAATCTAGGATCGAGACTTTTGGAAAGAGATCGCGAAAGTAAGCCATTGATACTACATTCGTCGCTAGAAAAATCATTCGTTCCTCTTCATTCGTAAATTAACTTCAAACGCATCCTAGTCGAAAGTTGGCAGAAAGAAGAAAAACGAAACGGAACCTTAGGCACATTTTCCACGGACGAAACGGTAAATTCTCCTCGAAAATAATCGTAACTAGGTCAATAAATAAAGACTACCCGAATAAATTACTACGATTGGAAATAAATAAATAAAATGGTAGATGCGTACTTTCAGGAACGAATAGAAGACCGCAAGAAACCACGCGAGTCGAGCGCAGTTTCTTCGCAATTTCTTCTACGATTACTTCGAACGAACGCAGACAAACGTCGAAGACCTCCTTCGTTCCAGAATTAATTACTTAGTATCCTACTAGTGTAAGTTCGTTTAACGTGTTTAAGCTCGGACGGAGGACGGTCCGTAATACTGTTTAGGCGGATTTTAGGGTCGAGAGATCGCGTGTGTCATCTTATATTCTAATTGTCCCTCTCTTCTTCCTTCGAAATCTTCTTCTTCTTCTTCCCTTTCTTCCTCGTTCTCCTCTTCTTCCCCTTTTCTTTTAACTTTTTTTTTTCTTTTTGTATCTTTTGCTTCGTTGTTTCTCGCTCTCTCGACTCTGTCTTCGTGTTCGCCCTGGGTCCCAGCGCGACTGCGTGCCTCGGACTTAAATGGCGTAATAAGCGTCGTCCACGCTTCGTCGACTCTCTTTCAGCTTCTGAAATCAAGTAGAAGTGTCTCGTGATTAACTCGCACTTAGATTTAAACGGATCAGGATGCGATTCCGCGTTTCGAAGCTTGTTTGATAGGAATTTAATGGAATTTCCTAAATCTCGTAAACTTCGAGAGATGTTCCTGCATTTCTATGCCCTTTTATCTCTCTGCTTTCAATTACGCTTCGAAAACGAAGGTTTGCGTATCTCGGACAAGGGAGTTACGACTTGCCGCCATTTTTATCTCTATTTTACTCTCAGACTCTCGAAGCTTCGAAAAATAAAACGTTTAATGTTACGAAGAGGGTTAAAACGAAAAGTTGCGATATTTTCCCCCAGTTCCACGTGATTCCTCTAATCGAGAACAAAAATGTCTACTCAAAACGTCATTTAAACCCTAACCGCGTTATCTTTGATTAGAATCTTGCGATTAGGATGGAACGTACTCGTAAATTTCCAAACAACGCAGAACAAGTAGAACAAGGCAGTCGTGAAATGCAAACACGACATTGTGCAACATGGTGAAATGTGTAAAATGGTGGAAAAATGGCAGTAAAAATGATTAATTGTGAGCGTACTCAAGACGCGGCGAGAAATCGGTTCTATCACGAGAAGACTTCAAAGTTCTCTATAGAGTTCATGGCTAGAGCTTAGCCGCATACCGACGGTTTAATCCATATATTTTATCAACAAATTATCGCTGCGATTTTACGATATCGAGAAAAAATCGGTATTACGCGAATGCAGGATCATCATATATTTTACCCCGTGATACGAAGCATGCATGTCTTATATAATTACATGGAATCAGGATTTCTGACGTTTCGTCAGAGTAACGATGATAAATTGCTGATGATATATCGAGCAGATTTAAGTCGTATACGCGTGAAAATTTTCTTTTTTAAACGCGGAAACTGCGAATTAATATTTTCCTCCTTAACAGTCTATACATAACGTTTCCTCGTATAAGTTCTTAAAAAATGCGAGTGTAACCGATGTTTCAAAGTCAATCGATTAACGTTGACAGCAAATGCAAGTACGTAATTTTTGGAATCGATCAAGCTTGTATTTAAAGTTCTCCTTGTAATGTATGAAAAATTGTATGAAAAGAAAATTCAGAGAGAAAGAAAGTGTCCTTTGAAGGTATTGGTAAATGTAGAAATTTCTGTAATGCACGCTTCGATCATAGACCCCCTTGATTCGTTTACTCGGAACTTACCACTGGCAACGAAAGAATTTTCTCCTCGTCGAGCAGCTCAGGATTATTAACGATGATCTTCATGATACGTTGCAGAGTTTCCAGTCTATTGTTCGTGGCAGACCTTCGTCTACGACCTCTGCAATGAAACCAAAGAATAGACGTTAGATGACCTCGTCAAGAGCCACCAATCAGTTCCCTATAAACAGATCATCCGAATTTGTTATAAGTCTTGCGAGGAGAAAATGGTGCAAGGAAACGGAACTTCTAACCGATTGGAAACCGATAAAGACACCCATGTATCTATATATCTAATAAAACTCGCTGTTCGAAACAGTTGGATGATTCACTAAGATGATCATTAAAGCGAGAAGCAAAAGAAAGCGGAAGGTCCAACGTTCATGCCATATGTTCCAAGCGAATGCAATATTCATGCGAATGAATCCGTTCATTTTTTTCACAGCTTCTCTTTCTTTCTTCGTTTTCTCCCCGTTCTCCGACGCCATTTTCGTCCTGCTCTTCGTCTATTCGAAGAATAGGCGCGAGGAATTGCACGCGATCACGCGTGTCACACGTGGTACGGTCAAAAGTAAGGAAAGGATGGCACGTGCTTCGTCCAAGTGAACTGTCGAGCATGCAATCGTTGGCAATGGAGCGAAATGCTCGTGACATAAGCTATTCAACCAGCCTTATCACCAGGGCGCCACGGAAATCGTTGGATATGTGCAAACCGCGATAAAACTGATGCAACAACGTTGCACGATAAACTGCTCGGTTATCTGCGAATAATCTAAAAGAAAAATCAAGATTTCAATAGCGATCATTCTCGTTTTCATTCCGATTCAAATTCTCCACCTCTTTGTTCTTCTTCTTCGTTTTGGCAAATGTCTTTCTTTTATTGCACCTCTGACGAACTATAGGTATTACCTCCTCTTGCATCGAAATTGCACGCTTCTTCGATGTGCAATATTTTCGATAACCTCGTTAAGAATTATCTCGAGATGTCATTACTTAACGATACAGGTTGTCGTAAGTATACGTTCTTTGTTGCACACATGTGTGCAATTTTTTAATGAATTGATTATTGAATGTATGTACTTAGGGATACTTTTGATTGGCAAATATAAGGACGGTGTTTTATTCCAATATATATTTTATACCAGTTAAAAGAGACTTGGGAGTAAAGTACAAACTAAAAGACTAGACTGATAACTGCTCTATGATCACGCAATTCACACTCGCACGTCGTCAACTCTTCTTCAAACTCCGCAAAGGACTGCCCTAGTGCCCTCAGACAGGCCTTGCACCTCTACTTAAAACCTACTCCCTCCTACGCATGCTTTCTTTCTTGTTCTCTCGTCTCTCTTGCAAACCTGGGCCAGGTACTCCAAAAACACTTAGACGTGTCCCTAAACATTCGACACAGCATATCCCCCGTTCATCTGATCTTTGAAGTCGGAATCCATCTAGAGGTGAGGGTGAGAATGATGGTCGCTACAAATGCTATTTAGTTTAGAGATAAACTAAACTAACTACGGCGTAAAGGTGTCTTAAAAGAATGAAACGACTGGTTATAGAGTGCTTGATCGCAACGTTTGATCGAATTTTCACGATTCCACGGGATATCGTGAAATTTTATTTAACGCGGCCTGTAATATCGCCATCTTAGATCCAGTTATAAACTGGGAAACCTCGCGAAATCTCGATCTCTCTGTTAGGAGGTAGCACGCGAGTTTCGAGCTTAGTGGAGAGCTTCCTCGCAAGATTCGCAATCCGTTTAATAAATTATAGCACGCGTGACGAAACAATCAATCATTGGCTATCAGGAGACCTCGCAGTGTGACAGTCCAATCGAATTTTCATTGTAAATTTCCCACTGATTACGTATCTTATCCAAGCTTAGAAACCGAGGCTTCCTGCAACAGTGCTTGCAGTATGAAGAGAAACGTCGATGTAAGGAGATCTGAGTCTTTTTTCTCTTCTTCTCGCTTCTTCTTATGTTCTTTTATTTCTTCTTCTTCTTGAACCTTCTCCTTTTCCCCCTTATTGCGCTGCTTTTCCTCGTTGTTCACGAAGAGGATCATTTAGGCAAATCGTCCCGATTTTCCGGCTGAATGGTTCGTTAAACGAATGAAAGCGCTTTAAGATCGCGAGTTCGTTGTCAGAGATCCGAATGTTTTAATGTGCCTTGTAACACTCGCAGGGTAGACGAGTGCAACGTAAACGACAAACGAAGGTGGAAACGTGTCGGAAATGAACGTGTCGGAAGTGAACGTGTCTTTGCGATGTACTGATCGAGCTAACATCTGAATAGGAATTTATTCGGAAGGCATTAAACGAGGTAACCGGGTCAGAGGCATTAGCATTTCCTCCTATACTCTGTCTTTCGCAAGATTCGTTACGATTCTATTATTTCATCTGAGTATTTGTCTGTCTACGAGTGTAGACAGACGCGAATTTTTCGATGTAACGGCTGTCGCGAGATCGTAGATATGGAAGATACGATAAGCGAATAATCGTTGGAATATAGTACTGATAAGAAAACGTTTCATTCCTTTTCGCGTTTTATCTTTTCCTTTTTTCAATTGAAGACGAAAGGAAGCGAAGAATATTCTAATAATTCGAATATTCGAATAAACTAATAATTTGAAGTCTACGCATTGGCAATTGCAGTTAGGGCTACGGTACTTTGGATCCTACACTTCCTATTCGGATCTACGATATGAGAGTAGATGACACAGTCAAATCCATTGAATTTTCTTTACCGATGGATTCTGAAATATTAGAATATTTCTTCTTCTTTTCTTCTGACTCTTCGGTTATTTCACCACTTGCGCTGGAAAGACGTGTCACACACGTCGTAATGCTTTTGTCACAGAATCGCCAACCACGTGGTATACACGTCGTTAGGCAATTGCTAGAGAAACAATGGACCGTTCTGTGAATTTCTTGACACTGTAAGTGGTTAATTAGGAATGAATAGGATACTGTTAAAATTATGTTCTCCGATGAAAATCAGACGATGCGAACGATGCAAGTCTAATGAGATATAATTGTTCTAAAATGTAGACTATGAAATTATTATATCTATTACATTTTCGTATCGATATCACGTGCCAGTCTACTAATATATGATTGAGAAGATGAATTAGGGAAAATGGAAATTATCGAATATAAAATGATCATCACGGAGTATTGTATTCTTCTAACTATAATTCCACTTCGCTCTTTCGTGAGATTGCTCGTTGAAATTATATACAGGTATACATCATTTAAATTTTCATTATCAGATTGCTTCTGCTTGATACTGTATACTCCACACTTTTGGAAGCGGGTTGCCCCAAAGTGGGTTTGATTACGGTATACTGTAATGTAACGTCATACCTTCTAGCGACGTAATTTTACATAAATTCGTAAGTATCTCTTTTGCACAGAACCCCGGGTACTACTCAGAGAGATAATCAGCCGATGCACGAGAACAAACAGATCCACGGAAGAATACGAGAGAAATAAATTATCTAAGGAATCGTTCCTCCGTTACTCCATCTTGCATTTCTGTTAATACCACTTTCAATATTTGCGTTGCCGTTTTTAACGCACCGTGGCTATTTCTTTAACGCGACGTATAAATAGAGGACTGTTTATTTTCAAACTCTAATCCTGCAAAATATCACTGGGGAGCCTAATCTCTGAGCGATAACAAACAACACTTTGTATTCAATTTTCAACACATCTGCCAGGTGAACAGTAAAAATCGGAAAAGTTTCACGCGATATTATCACTCTGTTAACCAATCGAGCAGGTCCATTAATTCCAATCTAAATAAATTTTAATTGAAATATTCTCGAAAAAGTTAAATATTTCACTTCGTTTCCAATTCCTTCTATTATTAATTCTCACGAAATTTTTTGACAATTTTTATAGAAACATATCGTTGCATCGTTACAGTGTTGCTAAATGGAAATAGCACGAAAACTGATTCCAGCCCTGGAAAGAGAAGAATACCGCTTTCTGAGATATCACTGTTGACTCTGCCTTCTGAGAAGCTAGGGAATGATCATTAAAGAGGCCAAACATCCCGCCATAGGACCAGTATCTCTCCATTATTTCTAATAATTTGTTAATTAAAAGTATTCAGCAGCAAAAGGAGTAGGATTTTTCTCTAGAAATCGTGGATTTTTCTCTAACATCTCGAAGAATATCCGTTTCCTGAAGACTATTCGGAGACACGTCTTCTGACGCCAGCAAACCATTCTTCTTCGTTTTACGTGATCACCCACTCAGGCTCTGTCAGCCTGCACGTTCGAAGACCTCGTTCGAGGGTGGTTTCCACCCCTGTCGCGCTGCCACGAAGCAACAAGTTGAATTTCAATGCCCGTAACCGAGGACGTGCCACACATCTCCCGCGAGCCTCTTCTCCTTCTTTCATCTCTCTACCCGCGAACGGACAGGTTACAATATTACAGAAATTCGCGACAGACTGAGGAAATTAAAAAAGCTCGCTCGAGTGTCTAGAAATAGACGATGTTTAACAAGTGACGTGTTCCGCTTGGAGATTCCTGAACCCTAGAATCAGACACGTTGCACCACGAGAATAGCTATTTCTACTTTTCTTCTTCATTCCCGTTTTATTTTTCTTCTCTTTTCTCAATTTTTGCTTTCTTTAAAATAGACCTTTCGAAATAGACCTTAGCTTTCTTCATAATAGCTATTTTCGGCGCCATGATACCACGAGGTCGGTTCCGTCCACATTCTTCTCGAGGAATTAGCCAAGTTCATCCGTTCCGCATCATAAGGTGATCTCGTTCATCGGGAACAGCTCGGTGACTCACGGTATTGTCATTCGGTGATAAAAGGAAGATTCCTTCAGTGGTATATAGCCGTTCAACTCGAATCCAGTTATGTAAAATCGAGCTACGCTTCTTTTCCTCAGAGGTTATCGTTCGAGCTGGCTAATTTAGAGTGACACACAGATGTGATCTGCACGAATTCAGTGCAAGATTCTCGGAAGCATTTTGATAAAGCTCTGCGATGAGCTCTTGTGTTTCTGGTAAATGATCTACAAATTTCGTGATCGCGATCGGAGGGGATGGATCGTACCAGTGATGCGATCTTTAGCACATTTGCATCCAAGCGCGGAATATTCCGCGAGCCACGGCTGACGTCTATCACCGAGCGCGGAATATTCCGCGAGTTGTGACTGTCGTCTATCACCGAACGCGGAATAATCCGCGAGCTATGACTGTCGCCTATCACCGAACGCGGAATATTCCGCGAGCTGACCTTCCTCTATTACCAGTTGCCGAATATTCTTCGTATACCACAGATCACGTTTGATTAGTTCGTTATATTCTTACCAAGTTTTACTTTCGTGAAAATCTTTTTAACTGCCATTATGAGCAAGTGCTGATACGTGATAAGTGGTGATACGGGCCAGTCGTCAGTTGAACGTCGCTGATGCCTGAACACGGCACCTTAAGAAGAGTGATGATGCAAATGGGTTAATTCGAGCTGACTATGGGAAAAATGAATAGAAAATCTTCAACCATTACCACGATGCATTCTACACTTTGTCCTAACTGGACTCCTATTTAAGCACCCACTCTGAAATGCTACTCTATGACTTATACAAAGTCACAATTAGATTAACTACGTTTTCTGAAAATTTTTCAATTCTAGGGCCAAAGTACTTGATCGATGCAAGATTTTTATACTTAAGACCGATTTCTACGTTTTGCTATCTTTCGCTAATTTACACGTCGAAAGTAAAATAAATCGATATGGAACTTTGATAGAAAAATCTGTACCCCTTCCAAACACTGAAATATTTTACCGTATTCGCACATTTGTACCATTATTTTATCAAACGATTTAGGCATCGTCGTTCACCCCATTTTCAGGGATGAAAATTGATAGTAAAGAGAAGGAATGAGAATGAAAAGGGAAAGGAATATTTCCGAAGATTCGGAAATTCGGAAAAATTTGCATCAAGATATGCCGCTCTCTGTTCGCCTAAATATCTCGAGGATGTGTCATATCGGTAATTCCAAATTGTTTGATAAACACGTAACGATAAATCGGGGCAGATAAGGTAGCTTCTGACGATATTACGTAATTACTCACATTTTATCTGGGTCCAACATTCCGAATGCAACTGGAACCGTCACTACTTTTCCCTTCACGTTCTCCAATCCGAGAAGAGTCTCTATTTCTGCGAGTCTCTGATCCGACACACGTCTCTGTCTGCTGCAAACCGAACAGTGGTGTAATTATCATCGTCCACGTATTATTATCAACTAAAATTACAGCCACGAGAATGAGAATCGCGAATAAATTTGAACACAGGTAACGGAACAAACTTTTAGTGGGCAAACCTTCGGGAACCGGGATAAATGGGATTAATAATCAAAGATGTGGATCGATTCGTGGTTTTCGGATTCAACGATAGTCCGTGGTAAAAATAGGAGCTTTATTTTATCCTTATCTATGGAACGTAGAGTATATTTTTAACCGCGAATTCGATAAATATAATGATCTAGTGATCGAAAGATACAGCATGTGTGACCAAATAATTATTAGAAAAACAATAAAAGCGGGAAAGAGGAAAAAGCCGGTGTAAAGAGCACGGAATCAGTATCGTAATTCACCGTAACGTGAGTCTATGTAGCATTTTTACAAAGGAATATTCGCAGCCGGGTAATCCTAGGAAGATTTCCTAATCTTCTTAAACTCGAATATATTTACAGAACAGGTGTCTATAATTACCTCGACTCGTCGATCGTTTAGAAACGAGTCATTCTCAGCAGCGAGAGAGATAGGAGGCACCAAGAGAAATGAGGAAGAAAAGAGAAAGAAGTTGCTACCTCAAAGGAACTAGCTTCTATAATTAAACTAGATCCACCGGGAAGATAGATCCGGATAATTTTCACGTACCATAACCACTGACTCACCACGCGAAACCGCACGTTTCCACTCGATTTCAGGTATCACACGCTTAACACGTTAAACACCACGCCGGTTTTACGTGCCGCTCCGTTCACGCCATAGTTAGCCGCCATGCGGGCCCTTCCGGGCCGTACGGACCGGTGAGGCCTCAACGAGAAGTCTAGTGGTCCCTAGGGATCGGCGAGGCCTCAACGGGAAATCTAGTGGTCCCTAGGGACCGGTGAGGCCTCAACGGGAAGTCTAGTGGTCCCTAGGGATCGGCGAGGCCTGAACGGGAAATCTAGTGATCCCTAGGGACCGGCGAGGCCTGAACGGGAAGTCTAGTGGTCCCTAGGGACCGACGTGGCGCTTAACGTGTTAATTGCGCGAAACACGGAGCAAACTGTGCGCCACGGTATCGCGATAAGCCTTCGTTACATGTGTATTTCGAATTATCTATTCCTTCCCCTTCTTCCTTCTCTCTCCTTCCTATGGACACGTCGAAGCAGAGAAGATCGTTTCATCGTATAGTTGCATGAACGCATAACCGTGACTTGCAACAATGGTAATTGTAGTTACATCGGTGGGCAAACTTTCACTCGAACAGCCGTGAATTTGGGTGTCGCAAATGATCCTCGCGGGATCGGGTAAGATCTCGATAGGGATCGGATAATTGGCAGAGAGGTCGTTTACCTTCTCATCGCTCTCCAAATTTGCAACTTGTTACTTCGATATTCACAAGACCGTGCAATCCCTTTGCGTACTTATTCTGATTTTTCCTAAGACAGTTTAATTTTCGTTCCTATATTTAATTACCAATCGCTTTTCTTTCTCGGATCGATTCGATAAGATTCGAGCAATTTATTGAATTGATGGTAATTGGTTTCTATGAAATCAAAGAAGATCGGTGAAATTTCGAAGAGTGTTCGTGTGGTTTGAAATACTTCTTCGGAGATAGAAAGAATCGTTTGTAATTCGTTTTTAATTTACTAATAATTTGTTAATAATTTACTAATACGATTGTACTAATTTTTTAAAAGAATGTTCTTAGTAACGGGGGTGTAAAGAAACGAAAATTAGACAGGCTGTTTAATAAATGAAAAACCTACGGGGGAATTTTAGGAATTGTAAGATAAAAAATTCAAAAGGAATTGAATAGATTTTAAGGAAGATTTCAAATTTCAAATTACCAACGGAAACTCTGAGGAGCTTCGCAAATTTTAATCGATCCGAAGACAAGGCTTAAAGAAAAGGATGTAGAGAAAAATAGGAAGGAATAGTATGGAAAAATAACAGCTTCAGAGTTCTGGATAGAAGTTCCCGGAAACCGCCATTTATCATTTTCCAAGCTTCCCTGGCAAGATAGTGAAATTAATTTCGCAATGTTGAAACAAATCCCCCTGATTATAGTTACTCTTTCGTTTACTTTGGTTCCCTTCCCTTTGTTCATTTCCCGGTGCTTAAAGTACGTAACAGTGATAACGCGGAATTCATATTGCCAGTGGACAAGAAAAAAATGGCGCGACATCCGGTGATATTGCAAGCTGCACGAGATATAATACCGCGTTTGTCGATCGTCGTCAATTTTGTCTCTTTAATCGGCATGCTAATCTCCCGGCCACACGCATGGAACAAAGCTCTCGTTATCTCCTAGTCG